GTGAAGAAAGTTAACTATTACACTCCAGTCTCTGTGCTGCTTGGGGCCAGGTCTCTGCTTCTGGACTATTTGTAAGGGCCTTTCAGAAATCATCTTGTCACTTCCCTGGAACATGAATCAGACCATGAATGCCATCTTCATTTTAGTATTTTTAATGTAAAACAGGGCCCTCTGAGAAGGAACAGATTATTGAGCTAACTGTTAGAGGAGAAAGGGATACCATTGAATTATGGGAGTCATTACCCAAACCATAAGTGAAACACTCCACACCTTGGAACTGCACCAGCACAAGAACTGCTGTCTTTTGTTCTCCCTGAGGAGAAAAGCCACTTTTTCTCCTCCACCCATCCAGTAGATAAATCTCCTCTGCTGAGAAAGGAGAGCATTGCATACAGTGGCCACTGCTATGGCAGGTTCATGTCTAATAGTTGGGGCCTGGCCCAATATGGGTAATGATGTATTTGATGAGGGTGGAATGCTGCTGTTTCCTCTTATACCTCCTCCACCTGTCTCAGCGTGTACTCCAGGATAGTGTCTAGCCCCTGGAACTTAAAATAGCCCAGGAACAACTTCTTTTGGAGCAGTAGAGGAAACCAGTAGACATCATCTGGCCACATGTGACTGAAAGGCACCTGATCCAGCTGAAACCACTGTGGGCACATTTCTAAAATAGGAAGAATAAAGAGGTTTGGGTAAACTTATTTCACTGCTGTTTTGTTTTAATGCTGGGTGTCCTAGGAGGGAAGGAAAGCACTTCCAACAACTATGATTCATAGGCCTGCACAGCTAGCTGGCTTTGTTTTGGAGGGACTGTAGGGGGAAATTGTCCAGAGGAAGAAGCAGGACTCCGGGAGGCAATAGGCTGCTAATGTTGCTCAGACAACATAGCCCTACTCAGCCACCACCCCCTTTCTAGTAAACCCTGGCAGGATGCTTCTGGCCAGGAGAATGAGGGCTGAGAGTCCAAAACTAATACTGAGGGTGTGTGTGTGTGTGTGTGTGTGTGTGTGTAAGACAAATTCAATGTGCATCACAGAGGCCTACGTGAGCATGGGACCAGCATCACCCCTTCTCCGCATATGCTTTTAAGTATTAGGAAATAGGGGCAAACAAATCTTCTTTGTGCTGCCACTTGCCCCATACTCCTACCATCGCTTTCTGTTGGCTCTCCATGAAAGCTGTCCGTCCGGAAGATGTGGACTTCCATGAGCTCAGAGTTACCTACAAACTCAAAGGTGATCTGACCCATCTTCTGCAAGTTGTCTACGGTCAATCCGCTCTCTTCCAGCAGCTCCCTGCAAGAGGAACAGATATCTTTGCATGAGGGCGAGCAGTGGGGAAACACACACTCAACAAAAAGAAAAGGAGTACTTGTGGCACCTTAGAGACTAACCAATTTATTTGAGCATGAGCTTTCCACTCAACAGTTAACATCTGCACACACACCACTCTAGGGTGAAGGCAGGGAGACATCCTGCATCTTTTACACAAACATGTTGTTCTAGTAACTAGAACCTCAGTGCTGGTGTGAGGCTTAGTGTGTGCAGTGCTTTGAGAACTTTTCAAATACTTATTATTAAATGCTGAATTATTCAAAGCATCCCATCTACCATATTTTCAGCAGTAGCAAGAGCCTAACAAACCAAGAGCACCCTGAAGAAAGGAGGCTCGTCTCTCTCCTTCCCTCCATACACTGGCAGTAACTTACCTAAAAGGCTGTTATATAAAATGCAACCAAAGAAGCTCTGTGAGAGGCCAGTTCTCTGCAAAGTAAACTACTTTATGCAGAAGGGAGCTTTGGAATACCCAGAAACAAGTAAAACTGGCTTGTAGCATACCCAGAGATTTACTGAAGCAATGCCAAACTCCCTGCCCATCCAAAGGAAAATTCAGGCATTTGTGAAAGGGCCAGGAGGTTGGGAGACATGGGCTTATGTCAGAAGAACTCTTCTATATGAAGCGGACATTAATTTTTATATGAAATTATTGATTCAGCTGTCATCTGCCATGTCACCTTCTGCTGCAATCCCAACAGAGTCCATAAAATAAATAGGAGTGGGCTGGTTCAATCAATAATTGGAGAGAGACCCAAGTGCTGCAGGAAGTCAGTATTGGTGACTCAGCAGCGGGCATTCTTCCTTTGAGCCCTTACTGAAACAATCCTGCAACACGGCCAAGGCAACACCGTGCTTCTTATCTTTTGGATGAAACTTAAAACAGGTTTACCAGAGAGTGTCTGGCACTTTTAGTAAAATAGATAGATATTAATTTGGTATCCTAGCCAAATTACAATTCATGAAATTGTTTAGCACACTATTCATCAGTCATGTCCTCACCTGTTGTGTAGTGCACAGAGACTATTGCAAAAGGTGCTACTTACAGCTCAAGGCATTTTCAGTGATGGGTGAAGTGATTATCTACATAACCCGTAGCAACCTGCCATACTTAATTAGTTTACAAAGTGCTTAGTGATCTTCCCACAAAAGGCACTACAGAACTGACAAGTAATATTTAATTGGGCTGAGGCTTTTGTAATAAATTATATAAGTGGGGGGTGAGCGGGGAATCACCTGATCAGCTCCTGTGATTTTATCACAAGTCTCCTGATATTTGATGTTTTTCTTAAAGCTTCAGCTTTCATTTTTCAAAGAAAGTTTCCAGCCCTCAACACTGAAGATAAAAGCTTGAAAAACGTGAACCTGAAAGATTCAAAACCCAGACGGCAAATAAAAACCCCCAGTGTTTTGGCTTTAAAAATTATGATTTAAAACAATCTCATGATTTTTTTAAAAGAGGGGCTGACTCGTGGTTTCTAAATGCTGGAGGCTGGTGATACTCCCGAGTTACACACCTGACTTGGAGATGGATGCATAGGATGTGGTCTTGTCTCCCACACCCCCAGGGCGCACGTGTACCCATCTCACCTGTGGGCTGCCTGCTCTATGGTCTCGCCTGCCTGCACTTTGCCCCCGAATCCGTTCCAGCGCCCAGCCCCGAATCCACGTTTCTTCATGCCCAGCAGCACCCGCTGGGGCTCCACCACCAACACCAGCGTGAAGAGCTTGCTTGTGAACATCGCCCCTGTCTGTGCAAAGGGGAGATGGGTCTGAGCCGGGCACTTCTGGGAGAGTGTGATCAGAAATTGTGCCCGCAGTGCATGGGACACACACAGGCAGGGGTGCTGGAACAATTTGTATCGTGGGGGTGCTGAGAGCCATTAGCCCACACTATAAACCCTGTGTATGATGGAAACCACTTCAAGCCAGGCACCCCCATATTTCCAGCACCTATGTACACAGACTGTGTGCGGAAGGGAAGGGACAATAGCCAGGAGATCGTGCTGCTGTGCCCGGTTCTGTCCCCTACTTAGCCCCGGAAATTGCTGATTAAAACCAATCACCCCCCTTCAGCGCCCAGCCCATCACTGCCCTAGCTGCACCCAGCTCGGCTGCTCTGCCCTCCCGCCATCACTAACCTGTCCCGCCTGTCTCGACCCCCATCACTCACCTGTCCCAGCCCAGCCTGTCCCGCCTCACATCAGTAACCTAGCTGCCCCTGGCCCGCTCCGCCCCATCACTCACCTGTCCCGGCCCAGCCTGTCTCGCCCCACATCAGTAACCTAGCCGCCCCTGGCCCGCTACGCCCCATCACTCACCTGTCCCGGCCCAGCCTGTCCCGCCCCACATCAGTAACCTAGCCGACCCCTGGCCCGCTACGCCCCATCACTCACCTGTCCCCGCCCCCATCACTCACCTGTTCCAGCCCAGCCTGTCCCGCCTCACATCAGTAACCTAGCTGCCCCCCCCCCGGCCCGCTCCGCCCCGCCCCATCACTCACCTGGCCCCGCCCCCATCACTCACCTGTCCCGGCCCAGCCTGTCCTGCCCCACATCAGTAACCTAGCTGCCCCCCCCCGGCCCGCTCCACCCGCTCCGCCCCATCACTCACCTGTCCCGGCCCAGCCTGTCCCGCCTCACATCAGTAACCTAGCTGCCCCCCCCGGCCCGCTCCGCTCCGCCCCATCACTCACCTGTCCCGGCCCAGCCTGTCTCGCCCCACATCAGTAACCTAGCCGCCCTGGCCGCTCGCCCCATCACTCACCTGTCCCTGCCCAGCTGTCCGCCCACATCAGTAACCTAGCCGCCCCCCCCCGGCCCGCTCCTCCCCGCCCCGCCCCCATCACTCACCTGTTCCAGCCCAGCCTGTCCCGCCTCACATCAGTAACCTAGCTGCCCCCCCCGGCCCGCTCCGCCCCGCCCCATCACTCACCTGGCCCCGCCCCCATCACTCACCTGTCCCGGCCCAGCCTGTCCTGCCCCACATCAGTAACCTAGCTGCCCCCCCCCCCCCGGCCCGCTCCGCTCCGCTCCGCTCCATCACTCACCTGTCCCGGCCCAGCCTGTCCCGCCTCACATCAGTAACCTAGCTGCCCCCCCCCCCGGCCCGCTCCGCCCCATCACTCACCTGTCCCGGCCCAGCCTGTCTCGCCCCACATCAGTAACCTAGCCGCCCCTGGCCCGCTCCGCCCCATCACTCACCTGTCCCGGCCCAGCCTGTCCCGCCCCACATCAGTAACCTAGCCGCCCCCCCCCCCGGCCCGCTCCTCCCCGCCCCGCCCCCATCACTCACCTGTTCCAGCCCAGCCTGTCCCGCCCCACATCAGTAACCTAGCTGCCCCCCCCCGGCCCGCTCCGCCCCGCCCCGCCCCATCACTCACCTGTCCCGGCCCAGCCTGTCTCGCCTCACATCAGTAACCTAGCCGCCCCTGGCCCGCTCCGCCCCATCACTCACCTGGCCCCGCCCCCATCACTCCCCTGGCCCGGCCCAGCCCGCCCCGCATCACTCACCTGGCCCGCTCCGGCCCCCCGACGAACCCGGCCTGGCGGTCCCACGTGCAATGCCCCTGCGCCGCCGGTTGCTCCGTTGAAAACGGCCCGACTGGAAGCAGGAGCCGGAAAGCGGCTTTCTCCCCTCCCCGGCGCTGCGCGGAGCCGGAACCCGCGGCCCAGAGCGTGTTTCAGGCGTGGAGGCCTCAGAGGAGACCCTGGGAGCCGGGCGGGGCTGTGGGCCGGAGCCATGAGCCGGTGAGGGGGCCCGGCGCGGGGCTGGGGGGGGGCTGCTCCCCGCGGGGAGGGGTCGGGGGGCTCCGCCCTGGGGTCCCTGCGCGGTTTGGTCGCTCTGGTCTTCCCGCGTTGGGCGGGCGGGCAGGGGGTGCAGCGGGGCGAGTCTGACAGCGGGGAGCTGGGGATTGAACCCAGTGACGGCCCGGTCGGGAGTCACTTGTGACTAGCCACGGTACCGTCCCCTCGAGAGCGGGGTTTAAGGGGGGGGGTGTCTCTGCTGCTGCTCACAGGGTGCTCCCTGTCACCGTGGCGCATTGCAGGGGGCGGGGTGTGACTCCCCAGGGCTGGGATAAGACTCCATTCCATATCCCTTGTTCTGTTCTTCGCCTGTCCCACTGAGCCCCTATTTGGGCCTGGAGGATCTGTGTGCGCGCCAACCCCCTTTCCCCAAGGCCTGTCGCATCACATAGGGCAGGGGTGCCACTTTTGTTGCTTTGAAGGAAAAACTTCAGACTTGTTAATATTTGAAATCTAGAAATGGGGACAGTTGGGGAGAGAAAAAGGGGGGGGGGAAATCATTGTTGAGCTCACTCAAATGGACTCAGTTTGAAATCGCTGGAACGGAAAGAAAAAGAAAGAGATGCAGAGGATTAACTATTGTATGCTAAAACAATTATGACTGTCCCAAAAATGGGGACAATCGGTATGTTCTGGGATTGAAATTCTACCACATGAGTCTGACACTGTGATGTTGAGCTGATATATTCCTTTGCAGCATCATTGCATACCATGTGACAATGGGTCATGGTCCCTGAATAACGTGATACAACATGCCAGTGCTACAAGGGCCCAAAACTGATATTGGCCTTTGTGGTTGTCTCAAAAGCATCACTTATATAGGGGGTTACCTAATCAAAAATCAGAAAGAGCTTACAAATAGTGGATTGGATTGTTACCCTGTGTCTGGGTCCTTATCGCACATGCAGATTTCTCTTGGTACATATAACTTGTAACCGTGAGGGTGATTTAACCATTAGAACAACTTATAGAGGGATGTAGTAGATTCTTCACCACTTGAAGATTTAAAACAAGATGGAATAGCTTTCTAAAAACATGCTGTAGCTCAGACACAAGATAAGGGTTGGAATTACTGGGTGAAATTCTATGGTCTTGCAGGAGGTGAGATTAGGTAATCATAATAGGTGGTCCCTTCTGGCCTTCAAATCTATGAATCAATGTTTATAAAACAGCTGTTATTGGGAAAGATGAAGGAGAATTTAGACTAAATCTATTAGTGGGAAAAGGAGACTTTTGGAGGAGTAATGTTAACTAACCTTTTTTCTTAGTGAATTTAGTGTTGGGGTGAGGTTCCTTAATGACAGCTCTGGTGACTGAATGCCTCTCTCTATCCACAGAACAGCTACAACATGGTGTCCTTTCACTATGTTTAAAGAACTACTTTTAGGAGAAAGAGGGGCATCCAGATTCATTTGTTTCTTGGTGCCTTTCCCACTGCCAACAAAGGTGCCCAGTGTGCTAACAGTGATGGTGTGTGTTGCAAAGTGAACACCTATTCCCTAAAGACTGGACCAAGAAGAACCATCTAGCTTCAAATAAGCTACCGGATTGGTGTGAGATGGTCATGGTATTCAATAATATCTATCTTGCAGAATTGTTTTGAGGACTGGATAATGTTGATGCTGTTTTTAGGATACGAAAATCTCACTGTAAATGCTGAGCTCTTTGCGGGCACAGACCATCCTTTTGTTCTGTGTTTGTACAGTTCTGATGCAGAATAGGATCCTGGTCTATAATTACAGGTTTCAGAGTAGCAGCCGTGTTAGTCTGTATTCGCAAAAAGAAAAGGAGGACTTGTGGCACCTTAGAGACTAACAAATTAGAGACTAAATAAATTTGTTAGTCTCTAAGGTGCCACAAGTTCTCCTTTTCTTTTTGGTCTATAATTGAAACTCTTGGATACTACTACAATACAAATAATAAATAATTATAATTATTAACTGCAGGTGCCCAATAGTCTTAAAATGAGCCAGTAAATTTCAGGAGTTCCATCTGTAGACGAGCTTACTGATAGATTGAAAGGAATGAGGTTAGAATTGGAGCCTGTTACTTTAGAGACATATGGTTGTCAAGTGCACAGTGGTTATGCAGAAACAGATTAACTTACCTTTCTTTTTTATAGTTATCAGAGGTTGGTGAGCGCTTCCCTTCAGTGCCAAAGGTTCCACACTGCTGCAGGATATCTAAAGAGCAAAACCGGGGCAGAGCATCGCTGGCTGGAGCGGCATCTTAAGGATCCATTTGTGCGGGCAACAAAACAGCATAATTATCGTTGCCGGAGTGCTTTCAAACTGCTGGAGATGGATGACAAACATAAGATTCTTCGTCCAGGGCTCTCTGTGATAGACTGCGGGGCAGCTCCTGGAGCTTGGAGTCAGGTTGCTGTACAGCGAGTCAATGCTTTGGGCTCTGGTGAGTGCACATGCTTAGCACCCAAAAGAACTAGACAATGCTGACTCAACCTACAGTCTGTGAGGAATGTCTTCTACTAATAGATTTAGCTGGGCTGAAGAAAGCTGAATGTGGGTGTGTGCTTACATTCAGCACAGTCATTACTAGCTGTATAAAGTTTAAAGTATGCGGGGCTTTTTGTAACCATGCTGGTAATAAAGAGGAGCAACTCCTCTGGAGTGGAGAAGCCATCTTTAGGGAGTACCCAGCATTTCTCAAATGCGGCCAACCGGGCTTTTCTTGCGACTGCAGCCTCCTGGGCAGTGATGGCGGTAGCAGGGGTGGGTAAAGCAGCGGCCCCTCTACCGGGACTGCCAGCAGTTCTTGGGCCCTGCTCCCCTCTGGGTGCCGCCTCCTCCTCCAGCTTTTGTGTCTCCAGTGAGTTCCCCACCTTCCTGGGGGTAGTGGGGTCAGGCTTCAGCGTTGGGGTGGCAGGTAGCAGGCTCCAGCCACGGTGCTTTGAGCTTCATTACCTAGCCAGGTGGTGGTGGGTTCTAGCCCTGAGTTAACCCCCACTACCCCTCTGCCTTGGCCCCCTCTGCCTACAAACCCACCTCCCCATCCAGGGCTTGCTGGGGCTGAGTAAGTCTGCTGTGAAAAGTGATATTTGTATGTTTGTTAATATTACTTTTCACAGACTTAATATCTAGGGAGTCTTAAAAAAAAAAAAAATAGCTACCAAAAAAGCGAAAGAAACAACAAAAAAAGACAATGTGCAAAGCACCTTTATTTGTGTTTCTGTTCTGTTTAGGTCCAGTAAAGAATAGAGACAGCTGTACATTATTTTTATTATTGAGTTTGCCAAAAAAATCCTACATAAATAAATTACAATGATTTGGACATGTATATGCCAATTTTCTCTTTACCCCGGGGGGTGCTCAACTCCCCTTCCTCCCCAGGCCTGCCCCCCCCTTCACATCTTCTCCCAAGGCCCTGTCCTGCCCCTGCTCTGCCCCCAGGCCCGTCCCCACTCCACCTCTTTCCCCAAGACCTCATCCCTGTCCCGCCTCTGCTCCACCACCACCCCACCTCTTCCTGCCCCCTCCCCTGAGCATGCCCCATCCCTGTTCCTCCCCTCCCTCCCAGCGCTTCCTGCACGCAGTGGAACAGCTGATCGTGGTGGTTGGGAGGCGCTGGGAGGGAGTGGGAGGAGTTGATCAGTGGGGCTGCATGCAGGCGGGCTGGAGGTGCTGTGGGGGAGCTTGGCTGCCAGTCGGTGCTAAGCACCCACTAATTTTTTTCCGTGGCTGCTCCAGGGCTGGAGCACCCATGGAGTCCGTGCTTATGCGTATCTGTGTGTATTTATTTGTTTTTCCTAAACTCAATTAAGTATTTTACGAAAAACTGTCAGAGCGGCCACCAGCAAGAGTTGGTGGCCACGTTGTGAGGCCACCAAAAAATGTGTTGTGAGAACCCAGAAGGAGATGGCTCATGTATTGCAGAAGTGACTAAAGCTCTTACATTGAGCTACTCTATGGTATATTATCTAAAGGCTAAAGAAAAGGGCTGGGCATAGTGGAAGAGGGGGGGTCTGTCCCCATCTCTGCCACTAGCTTAGAATAGGTCTACGCTAGCAACATGCTGCACTGTAGATACTTACTACAGTGATGTAAGAGGTTGTTCCATTGTTACCTGGGGTTTTTTCAACACAAAGCTCTTGGTAACTTTTACTCTGTGCGAAGTGGTGTCAGGAAATAAATCAGGGGAGACACGGCTATCCGACCAATAGATGGCTGGCACAAACAGGACAACACGAGTGCTTTCACTTAAAGCTAAACTTTACTTAGTCTCAAGCACTTACACACACGTCCGCAACACGTTAGTAAAACACCTCCAACCCTTGATAATTACCAAAGCTGAGTATGACTTTCGAGTGGCAGGCTTCCGGTGGCCAAATCTTTCGTCTGCCAGTGGGGACTGCAAAATGTATCCAGAGGGAGAGTCCAAAAAGAGTCCAACTACCTCAAACTTTTCCTCGTTATTTATACATTAGTAATAGAATGACAGGTCCCTTAAAGAAAACTTGTTAAGTAAGTAGTTTCAATTGTCAAGCAAGAGGTTCCTTCTGATTATCGATTAACCAGGTGTAGGTTTTTCCAGAGTTTGCAGCCTTGAGGCCCGCAATAAACATTCCTGGGGCACATCCTGCTCTTCTAAAATGCATGTATCAGCCACTTCAACACAATTCTTCTCAGGAAGGACGGGGGGTCAAGCTGCCCTCTCCGTGGCACCCAAAGACACCTCCACCCGGTCTTGGTTAAGCTAATCCTGCTGACTTGGACAATTTACAGCCTGCTGACTTGTCTGCTTTTAGCAATAAGCCATAGTGGTTTCAGGCACATTACTGGTTTGCCAAAGTCTCCCCATACACCATCGCTGTAGTAAATCCACTTCTCTGAGACCATTCCTTAGTGGATAACCTCAGGCAAGAAGCTTAGCTTCTCTGTATCTTAATTTCCCTTTCTGTAAACGTGGTGGTAACATTGACCTCCTAGAGGTGTTGTGTTTTAATTCATTAATGTTTGTAAGGTGCTGTATAACAGGGCAAAGTACTGTTCTTATTGGCTGACTCCAGCATAGCCTTACTGTTGATACACTAGGTAGAGATGGATGAAGAGGCTTTCTGGAATAGTGATCTTTAAAGAAAGCTTGCTTTTACTTTTTTTAATGTGCTAAAAATAACTAGGGTGAGATGAGCATAATAGATGAGCATTCTGGTTATAGGGGGGCTAGACGGCACTTTGTCAATGTGTGGTGTAGGTTTGTATATTGAACTCTGGGGAAACTCATGAATATGACTTGTATTGTTAGCAGCTCTTGTAATAAGAGTGATTAATTTGGAGATAGGGAGGTGTCTTGCATCTTCCATTCTTGCATTAACTCTTTGTTTCCTAGATCCTAATGCCCCTGTTGGTTTTGTCCTTGGAGTTGACCTTCTTCATATTTCCGCTCTGGAAGGAGCAGTCTTCCTTTCCAATGCTGATATTACAGATCCAGTCACGCTTAAGAAGATCCAGGAGCTCCTTCCTACAGAGAGGGCAGATGTTATCTTGAGCGACATGGCACCTAATGCCACAGGGATCCGAGAGTTAGATCATCAGAAGTTGATTAACTTGTGCTTGACCCTTTTGGATCTGTCCCAAAGCATCTTGCGGCCAAGAGGAACTATCCTCTGTAAATTCTGGGATGGACGGGAAGCCCATCTTCTCCAAAACAGACTAATGGAGCGCTTCCAGGACGTGAGAACTATAAAGCCTCAGTCCAGCCGGAAGGAGTCAGCAGAGATCTATTACTTGGCAAAACTGTACAATGATGGAGTGAAACATCAGAAACACTGATTGTGTCTGCCTTTATTGTCAGTCACTGACTGGATACTTTGATTTGAAGTGTATTTAAAAAAAAATCCCAGCATTGAGACTCTGAAATTGAATTGCTTTATGGTTAAGCCTAATTTGGTGAAATCTGTCATTTATATAACATCATAGATGTGCATCATGCTTTACAGGTACAAAATAAAACAAGGTTGTTGTCCCACTGAGTTTATAATCTAACTAGGCAAGTAAGAACATCCAGTCTAACTCCACCTCTGGGAAGAAAGCTCTTGGAAATGATATAAAAGCTGGCTGTAGGGGATGGAAACAAAAATAAAAGTTATTGATTTGTTTACAGCTGTACATTTATTTCAAATTGCTACTCTGTGACTCTAGTCATGCTTTGAACAAAACATAAGGTGGCTCTCATAATGAGAGTGAAGAGAAGGGATCTAGGAGTCAGTTTTACTTCCTCTGCATTTTTCCTAAGACTTAGTGCAATTTATTAGTGCACTCTTTGCCAAATAACCAGATGGGCTGAACCTTTCTATGCCAGACGTCTGCGTCAGGCTGAAGTTTTCTGGAAAACTTCAGCCAAAATCGTTAAGCTGTTTCTAAGAAAGAGGCTAGGAAAAATGCATGTTTTACCTGTATTAAGAACTTCAGGTGACTTATTCTTTGAGAAGGTCTGTTGTGCCTAGGCTTTGGAGCAGGGGCTTGGAGGAGGAGTGGTCTTTTTGTCATAGATGTGCCGTTTGTTGTCCCCATGACAATCCAACCACATTTAACCAGCTTACAAGCCTCTGAAAAATCAGTTTTTGCATGTACTCAAGTCAAGTCCTGTTAGAGCTTAGTAGCTAAATTCCCCAAAGAGTTTGTTTTCACTTGGCATGCTCCAGCCCTGGGCTGAGCAGGATTCTCCCTGCAATTACAGCTCTAGCTGGCTGCACCCCAAAGCCATGGAAAGCAAAGTGCTGGAGGCTCTCTCATGCAGCCTCAGGAAAAAGCTGGTCAGAGTCACTTGTGCATGTAGTGGAAGCATAGCTGGGATTCCCAGTTTAGCAGTGTGAAGAGGTTTACAAAGTACACATTTTAGTTACTGTGATTTACCTTGGATTTCTGTTTAAACACTTGGTTTGATTAAACTGCACCCTCCTGCTAGAGTGGAATAAGGGCATGAATGGCTGAAACTAACAGTGGGCATCCTTAGTGCTACTGCTGGAGAGGGGAGATTGGGGGTGAATTGCTGAGTTTCTCAGCCTTGTATCCATCATTTCTAGGCAGAAGGGGCAAAGGTGCAATTGCATACCAAAAAAGAGTGAGGAAGGAACGTGGGAGTGAGAATTCATGAATTCTTTATCTACTTGCAGAAGGACAGCAACAAAAGGATACAGCTTTTCATTCCACTCAGGCCTCTTCGTTTTCCAGAGCTAACAGTGCACTTTGGGCATATTCTTCTACTCCTGACAGTACTAAGGCTGGTCACTGATGTGATTGCAAATCCAATGCATGCACGGTTATATTGCTACTAACGTTGTTAGTCCAGGTTAGAATTTTGCTCATTTTCTAAGCTCTTTGTCTCCTCTGGAAATGAAGCAAAAAAAATGCTCAGTAGAGGACAGCATATGATCAGGTCTGGCTGGCCTGAGCCCTGTGGGGTGTATGATCCTAGGAGTCCCTCCTGATGCTTCTGTCTGTGAAGAAGGGGCAGGGGAAGGTTCTCTGCAGGTGTCCTGGTCCAATCTGATAGCAGAACTGCAAGGTTCAAAGGATGGAATGCAGGCATGGGTGTTACTGTGGGCAAGAGTTGTGAAGATCTGGGGGGACCAGGTGCGTTACTCGCTCTCCCTATGGCACGTTGGCAGCCCAACTCCTGTAGCGTGGTGCCTTTTGCCTTGTTGGAGAAGGGATGGTCCCTTGCAGGGGGGCTTCATGCCCTTTCTGGCCCCTCGTAGAATGACTCTTGTTGTTAAACATGTGTGTTGCACTAGCGCTTAGAGGCCCTAAAGGAAGTCCAGGTCCCAGGGGGCTAGGCACTGTATGTACAGAGTGGGCGACAGTCCCTACTGGGAAAAGCTGACAGAGTCTAAACAACCGAAGGAGGGGAGCGAGGAAATATCCCACTGGAGCACAGAGTGAGCAAGCTCACGCGGCAAAGCGGAGACTGGAGCCCAGGTCTCCCAAACCCCAGTCCAGGGTCTGAATCAGAAAATCAGCCTTCCACTCCCCAAGAAAGTGGCAGGTCTCCCATGCACAACGTTGCCATGACACTCACTGGTTTACCGCGCTGGGGACATAGGAGTTTCACGCGTGCTCCCAGCATTACGGTAGGAGGAGAACGGAGGCGCTACAAGCGAGGATACAAGTATAATCCCAGCATTACGGCAAGGGGGCGGGCTGGTGTCGCGGGAGCGGGGCGCGAGTTCTCGTGAGATCTCGGTGCAGGACGAGGAGGGAGATCCAAGCCGGAGCAAGGGAGCCAGCTGCGGCGGGTGAGTGTGAGAGGCCCGCGCTGCCCCCCCCTCCCCCCGCGGGCCTCGCCCCCAGGGCGGAAGCGGGACTGGCCGCCCCCTCCCGCCCTGTGGCAGTCCGAGGCCCTTCTTCCCGCAGAGATCCCCCGCCCGGGCAGCAGCAGCAGCAGCACAGGGCCCCGCCCCCCCAGAACCCCCACCTCCCGGGGGGGCGGCAGCAGCAGCACAGGGCCCCGCCCCCACAGGGCCCCCATCCCCTCGGGGGGGGGCCAGCAGCAGCACAGGGCCCCGCCCCCCCAGAACCCCCACCCCCATGGGGGGGCCAGCAGCAGCACAGAGCCCCCCCCCCAGAACCCCCACCCCCCGGGGGGACGGCAGGAGCAGTACAGGGCCCCGTCCCCCCAGAACCCCCACCCCCATGGGGGGGCAGCGGCGGCGGCAGCAGCACAGAGCCCCGCCCCCCCAGAACCCCCACCCTCCCGGGGGGGCGGCAGCAGCAGCACAGGGCCCCGCCCCCCAGAACCCCCACCCCCATGGGGGGGCAGCGGCGGCGGCAGCAGCAGCAGCACAGAGCCCCGCCCCCCCAGAACCCCCACCCCCCCGGGGGGGCCCAGCAGCAGCACAGGGCCCCGCCCCCCCAGAACCCCCCCCCCCCGGGGGGGCCCGACAGCAGCAGCCGCACAGGGCCCCGTCCCCAGACACAGGATGCATCCGATGAAGTGGGCTGTAGCCCACGAAAGCTTGTGCTCTCATAAATTTGTTAGTCTCTAAGGTGCTACAAGTCCTCCCGTTCTTTATACGGATGCAGACTAACACGGCTGCTACTCTGAAACCTGAACCTCCAGGGACATTAGCAGAGGGCCCTGCTCCCCGATACTGACCCCTCCCGGGTAGCAGCCCAGGACCATGCCCCCTGATACTGAACCCCCCTGGGGAAGTAGCACAGGGCCCTGCCACTAGTGTGCCCCTTCCCCTAGGGCAGCATAAGAACGGCCATAGTGCATCAGGCCAAGGATCCATCTAGCCCAGTATCCTGTCTGCCGACAGTGGCCAACGCCAGGTGCCCCAGAGAGAATGAACAGAACAGGGAATCATCAAGTGATCCATTCCCTATGGCTCATTCCCAGCTTCTGGCAAACGCAGGCTAGGGACACTATCCCTGACCACCCTGGCTAAGAGCTATTGATAGACCGATCCTCCATGAATTTATCTAGTTCTTTTTTGAACCCTGCTATGGTCTTGGCCTTCACAACATCCTCTGGCAAGGAGTTCCAGCACAGGACCTTGCCCTCCACCTCTGAACCCCGGGCCAGTAGCTCAGGGCCCCGCCACCAATGTGCTCCTCCCTCTGGGCAGCAGCGTGTGGGTTTTGGCTCCCTCACTTTTACTGCAGCTGACAGTTTTGGTTTTGCATGCTGTATGTGCAGGGCTCTACCAAATTCACGGTCCATTTTGGTAAATTTCATGGTCAGAGGATTTTTAAAATCTTAAATTTCACAGTTTCAGATTTTTAAATCTGAAATTTCACATGGTTGTAACTGGGGGTCCTGACCCAAAAAGGGGTTGTGGGAGGGTCACAAGGCTACTGTAGGGGTGTCGTGATATTGCCACTCTTACTTGTGCACTGCTGCTGGTGGTGATGCTGCCTTCAGAGATGGGCAGCTGGAGAGCGGCGGCTGCTGGCTGGGAGCCCTGTTCTGAAGGCAGAGGCGCCGCCAGCAGCAGTGCAGAAATGGGGGTGCCATGGTATGTTATGGCCACCCTTACTTCTGTGCCACCACCAGAGGTGGGTCTGACTTGGCCCCAGGAGCGGCCCGTGCAGGGGAAGAGGAAGTTCCTGTCCCTCCACTGCCTGGCCGGGGCTGGCAGCTGGAGCCTGGTGCAAAGTAGGAGCCCCTGGTCAGGGCGCCCCCACCTCTGCTCCTCCCAAGTGGTTGGGTGTTAAAGGGGCCTTGGGCTGGCTGTTTGTATGGGGTGAGTGGGTGACCATCACACCCCCGATCACGTTGCCCACCTATAAGGCTGTCCCTGCCCCCCTCTCAAAAAGTGATGCCCCCCATACCATGCCACCCTCACGTCTGAGCCGCTGCTGGTGGTAATGCTGCCTTTAGAGCTGGATGCCCAGCCGGCAGCTACTGCTCTGAAGGCAGCGCAGAAGTAAGGGTGGCAATACCATGATCCCCCTACAATAGCCAGATTTCACGGTCCGTGACTTGTTTTTCACGGCTGTGAATTTGGTAGGGCCCTATGCATGTGGGAAGAATGTGGACTCCAGAGCAGGGGTTCTCACAAAAAATTTGTTGGTGGCCTCAGAGTGTGGCCACCAACTCTTGCTAGTGGCTGCTCCTACAAATCTGTCTTTCTGTCCCTGCCTCCCATGGCCCTTTAGTGAGAGCTGCCCCCTTCTCAGGGAAGGTGGGTCAGGAAGTCACCAGCTGCCTGTAGAGTCCCCGGTTCCCTGTGCCTGACTGGGAAGGAGTGGGGGAGCTGCCTGGGGGAAGCACTCCAGCAACTGAAAGCTGCAGCTACCTCCAGCACTGTGCACACCATGTCTCCAGACGCACTGCCGGGGCCCCCCGAGGAGGCTGTGCTGTGCAGGGTACCCCGATCCCCACTGGCAGTGCCAGCGCAAACACCAAGGTGGTACAACTTGCTGCCCTTCGTAACAGTTGTTCAGGAGCAACAGCTGGGCGCTGCAAGGAGGAATTGCTGCTTTGCCCCCACAATCTGTTTGGCTCCTCCCCACCCCCCATGCTTTGGAGGCTGTTGTAGCTGGAAAAAAAATCCGCTGGTGGCTGCATATGGCCCTGGTGGCCGCATTTGAGAAACTCTGCTCCAGAGTGACTTGAAGGAAGGAGTATGCCTTCCCTAGGTTACAGCAGTGAATAAGACTGTAAGCTGTCCTGGATGTGTCACTTTTGGCTTTGTGTGTGTGTGTGTTTACAGCAGAGAGTTCACCATGGAGAACCTGGAGGATAATACAACTGTGTTCTCCACCCTGAGATCTTTCAACAACTTCATTTCACAGCGTGTGGAGGGGGCATCTGGTCCAGCCACACCAGGATCATTTCAAAGTACCTTGCATATGCAGTACCAGCAGAGGGTGCAGGTGAGGCATCCCTGGCTTGCTGACAGCTGTAGTGTCACTGCAGTCAAGAGTTTAGATTTCATTTGATCTTCAGCCTGGAGATTTGTTTTAGTTAGGAGATGGGGCTTGTCCCTTCTTACATTGCTGTCCCTACATTGTCAATGAGGGAGATAATTTGCACCCAAAATAAAACTCTTCATTCCTTTCATTTAAAAAAAAAAAAAAGTGAGTTATGGGCCTGACTCTTTGTCCTGGTTAATCAAGGGGCTCCCTTGAATTCTTCCCCTTTAAGTTATCTGTAGGCCAACTCAGGCATCTGTATTGCGATTTCCCTTCATCCTGCCCCACGACTGAGCTTAACTGATGGCTTGCTTGCGGTGTTGGGCAAGTTTTCCTGCCTTGCCTAGCTCTCTCTTGAAAACATACTGTCAGCTGGGCTAAACTATCGGTGGTGTGTTTATGATAGTGACTCTGAGGGCTGAATTGAGATCACCAAATTCATTCCATTGAGGACCTCTATCTGGGCCAGAATTGTAGCCCTGGAAGTGTAAATGTCTAATTTACTAAACCAGTCTTTATGGATACTATGGTGATGGGCATTTCAGCAATACCTAAGATATCTTAGACAAATCTCCCTTAAAGTTCTTAGCTTCTGTAGCTTTGTTATGGATCTCTGGTTATGTCTCTGAGTGTAAAGTAAGGGTTTGCCATATTTATTTTAATTTCCATTGCATTTAAAGTTCTGACTATAATATTTTAAACTCCTTACTCTTTTATTTGTGTGACACAGTTGGTTGTGGAGTCTTCAATATATCAAGGTTTGTAAAGTAATTTGAAAGCCGAAGCTGGAGGGTATTATAGAAAGGCAAAATATTATTGCTTTTCTGCTGATTGTATGTTTTTTGTGTCTCTCTTCACATGGAAACTGATCAGCTGGAGGAAGAAGCTGGGCAAATCCGTTCCAAATCTCAGCTCCTGCAAGTGGAACGGGAGAAGATGCAGATGGAGCTGAGCCACAAAAGAGCTCGCATTGAGTTGGAGAAGGCAGCTAATACTAATGCTAGGAGCTACGAGGTGGGTACGGCATTCGTGCTGTCTGACAGCCAAGGCTTCAGTCAGAGCATCTTGAGATCATTAAAACTTTGTTGCATGGCTGACAAATAGTCTGATATTGATCTGACCACCAGATATTCTGTACATTTATTGATTGAGCACTCTGTTGCTCATCAGTATAAAACAAAAGGAGATTCAGGTCTGCTGCATTAAACCTTGTTTCTTCCAGAAGCGTTTAAACTTCATTTGGCACAATTGCAAACATTTGGTATGTTTGACTGGAATGATAACACCAGTCATGCGACTGCAATACAAGAGAAGCTGCATTGATAAGACACTGAGCTCTAGTCAGTGATTAATAGTTTCGTTGCCTTCTGGTTGTGTGCCCAAATGTGTTTGCTTAGCTATGTCGCTAAAATAAGCAGCAGAGTTTGTGGGCTTTGTCATCCTATAAAGCTCTTAGCATCTCTCCGAAGTTCAGCTGCTAAAAAAAAAAAAAAAAAAAGTCAATCCAGCAAAGTATTATAAGGATGCTGGGAGACAGATTTACTCTGTAGCTGTGAAATGGTGGGTCACTGAGTAAATTCCTGGTTCTGCCTCAAGTCAGTCGATCTTGGGATTAAGCCAAGAACAGTTCAAACCTGAATCTAGCTGAGTCAGTCACAGAAACCCTTAAAATACTGGTACAAAAAGGGAGCAGCACTAATCCAGCAGTGTGGTAATTACCCTGCTCAAATTCAGCGTTTCATGAGTCATGTGGATAAAGGTTTCAGGAACCGTGCGTTGCTTTGCATAATCTTTGCTTAGTATGTAAATCTGTGGCCCGATTTGCTTTGATTAGCAGAGCAATTTGCTTTACATTTTTCAATAAGTGCTAATCAATTTGAGTTAGAAATGAACTTGAAATGGCATGGGAAATGCTGTCAGAGTGCCAATAAAATAAATAAATATGGCTGAAAAAACCCCTAAATCTGCCCCCATATGTTGGTGGTTTCGTTGCACTGGTTGTTTATGTTGTATGATTAAAGTTGACTTATTTAAGATTAAAATATTTTAGACTTAAAATGCTCTTATGCAAATAGAAATTTCACAGAGAAACTTGTCTTGTTACTCCAGATATCAAGGTCCCAGGCTCAGTGAAATAAACTTCTTGTGAAAGGGTAATTGATGTATCCAGGGTTTTCATGTTTGAGCCAATGTAAATTATGCTGTGCAAACCATGAAGCCAACTCTGTGTGCTAACGTCCATACATCAGTTCAAGAAGTGCTTGGAATCTGTCTGGTAATTTCCTGGCTTCATTCCCTGGTCATTGAGAAGCTGCCAGTGAGATACTAGCTTTGCTAGCGAGGGGGTAAAAGAGCTTGGCTCTGAAAAGCATTGGTTGGTAGGGTTGCCTGTGGGACGTATAGTGAGGAAAGGGGCAAAGAGGAAAGGACAATGTCTTCACCGTTATGGCTCTTTCTTCTTTATGAAGTCCCTTTACATTTTCCCTTCCCTAGCGAGAGGTTGACCGTAACCAGGAGCTCCTCACACGCATAAAGCACTATCAGGAAAAGGAAGTGGAGGCTGAGGCTAAACTGAAGGAACAAATGGAGATGAATAAATCCTTTAAGAAGAGCATGGAGACTGTGAGCAAGAAGCTGCAGGAGAAGGAGAGCAAACTGGCTGAAGCTAATGAAGTAAGAGCACAGCAATTTCTTATTTCACCCAGTGCTCTAGGTGACTTTGAGGGTCACATGGAGTTGAAGCAATCCACTCTTGTTACAACAATTAGAACCACAGTGTACACAGTGATTAACAAACAGAGATGAGATGTGTCCTCTACTCCAAAGAGCTTACAGTCTAAACAGGACAGGAGACGGGATAACAGTTCGAGAGTGGTGAATATGGGGAATATGAGACGACATTGCTTGGAGAGGTGGATTTGGAGGAGAAAGACAGTTGGAGGGCAAGGGCAGGGAGAGTGTTCTGGGCATGGGGGAAATCAGGATAGAAGTCATGATGTGGAGAGTGGGGGAAAGCAATGAAGGGAGTGATAAGATGAGAGGGAGCCAAGGGAGTGAAGGAAACAAGCAGGAGAGTTAGCGGAGCTGAGATTTAGGTCGGACCAAACTACCTAGAGGAGACATCTTCCAAATATGTCTTAAATGGCAACTTCCTTTACTAGCATTTGTTAGCTAAGCACCCAAAATTTAGGGATTTGGGGACCATGAGGGGGGGTTCAAATGAGTGGATTTAACTTGCCAATTGGAATTTGTGGCAATAAAAATAGGAAGACTGTTGGAGGTTGGAAGAAAAACTAACCCAATAATAAACGCAGCTGACCTATTTCTATGCCACCTTTATCCCCACATTGGTAAAATTTGGGACAGGGATCTTGTCTCTTTAATGCATCTAACACATTTTGGGTGCGATCCAATACGTTTCAGAATGCTAAAGGTGGGAGTGAGGTATGAGGGTCAGGCGAATAATGGTTATTCGAGCCAATGTGGCTTATTCTTCAACTTTGTGAAGTTCCTTCCTCTGCTTTGCTGTCTATATTTGCCATATAAGGTTCGTCAGTCAACTAGTTTATTTCAGACTTGGCAGTACTGATGTTTGTCCCTCTGTGTGTGTATTCCGAGTAAGTCTGAGAGTGAGAGCTGAGTCTAGTAGCTTAGTAAAGGTGTAATGGCAAATGCTGCTGTGATTACTGTCTTAGCCATACTTCTTTGTGCCAATCACCATGGTAGCTAGACCCCTACTGAGGGCTTATCTTTGCTATTACTTGACTGGTTGAAAATTTTTGGGTCTCTATTTTGAAAACCCATTGCTTAGGAGCATGTGGATATGGTGATGATGGGATAATTGTCAACAGTAGGACACATCCTCTTGTGAGCATAGGTTCTGGCTTTGAGGTTTGCTTTTTTGCATACCAGTTTGAGGTCATACACTTAATGAATAATGGAAATGTCAATTTGGGTGGCAGGGCAGACGAAAGAGAGCAAAGAATTTTCTTTGACTTTGTTCTGAGGTGGGTTTGCAGGTCTTATTGTGAATTATTTCTAGATTCAGTGTTTCACATTAGTCAGTTGTTATATCTCAGCAGTTTGCATTCCATAATGTTCAGCCTGGAGGTCCAATGGTCTATTTGTTTGTTGTTTATTCTTCCTCTTCTTTCTGTGAATCCAGATGATCAGCGTATTGAAAGGGAAAATATCTGAGTTGCAGTGGAGTTTAATGAATCAGGAGATGCAAATGACAAGCCAGGAATCTCAGAAGCAGGAGCTGATGGAACAGCTGGATGTGCAACACCAGTGAGTAGGGGATTAACAACTGCCAGGAAAAAAGAAATCTTCAGTCTTCTGCAGCTGCTGCCATTCAGAAAACGTTCAACAGCTTTTTTATTTTTGCTGTTCAAAGGGCTTTTTTGATCTGGATGTGTAGGTTATAAAATTTGCCGGAAACTAGCGCTGAGCAGCAATTTAATTCTACCTTCATAAAAAAACATCCAAGCTTAAAACCGCCCTTACTTCTCATATTCATGTTGATACTTGATTTTGTACTATGTGTAGTTGAGGGGTGATTAGAAGATCTGATGAGGTGTGTGTCTGCCTGCTGCATCCTCCTCTTTCAGCTCCATGTACCAACACTCCTTTTTAGGATCAAGGTTTAAATGACTCTTTCTTTATGTAATGTACTCATGTATTTGTTGGTGTGGCCATGGGGTAACTTGATCGTGAGGATCTCTATGGATATATGGAGTCAGTATTTTTTTAGAAGAATGAATATTTCTGCTTTCCTAAGTAGAGGTAATCTGTCTCCACAGTGAATGTCTCAGTTGCTCCAGAACTTTAAATTAAATTAAAGAAAGGTCCTGCGGGGCAGTTCTTGCTTTTACACCACAACAGTCCTTGGTCGTGGTGGTAAATGACACTTGAATAAGTGTGTGTCTCCAATATACCTCTATATCTATAATAGATAGTTCCCATCAAGTGATTCTTGTATGTAAATTTGTCTCTTATGTCTACTTAAAACAGAAAATGTCAGGAGGCCAACCAACAAATCCAGTTGCTGCAAGCAAGCCAGTCTCTGTTGGCAGAACATGAGCAGAAAATTAAGGTGAGAGTGTGTGAGACCCATGCTGAATGTCTACTTTTCATTTTTACATACAAAAAGTATTGGGAAGATTTACCCTTACAGAAACTGAGAGCCACTCTGTCATATAAATGCCTTGCTTGTTAGGTGGGTAGAGCTGAAGTTGCCTAAATTCAGATGTCAAGGCACAGAAATTAGAAGGGTGGATTACACAGTCTATAATATTCAGCACTTGTACAGTAACTCCTCACTTAACGTCATCCCAGTTAATGTTGTTTCGTTGTTATGCCGCTGATCAATTAGAGAACATGCTCGTTTAAAGTTGCGCAATGCTCCCTTAGAATGTTGTTTGGCAGCCGCCTGCTTTGTCCACTGCTTACAGAAAGAGCAGTCTGTTGGAGCTAGCTGGTGGGGGCTTGGAACCAGGGTGGACCAGCAGCCCCACATCAGCTCCCCTAAATTCCCTGTGCGACAGCCACCCAGCAGGCTATCAATTGTTGGCCAGTTCAACTGTTCCTCCCCCCACTGCTGTGTGCTGCTCCTGCCCTCTGCCTCGGAGGGCAGGAGCAGCAGCTCCTGTACCCCTTCTCCACAGAGCAGGGGGGACACGACAGGGCTCAGGATGGATGGAGCTTGCTGGCAGCAGTTGCTGTCTCAACTTGCTGATCTACTTAAAAAGTCAGTGTACTTAGAGTGGGGTCAGCATACTTAAAGGGGCAATGCATGGCTCGCTGTCTCATACATGGTGTGTGTGTGTGTGTGTCTGTCTGTCACTCACACACACACACACACACACACACACACAGAGTGTGTCTGTGTCTCTCTCTGCCACGTGAAGCTACATTAAGAACAATGTGTTAACTCTTGAGGGCTCAGCTGAGAGCTAGTTCTTCATTTAGCAGTAAGACATTCCCTGGGAAATAACCTACCCTCTTCCACCCTGAGACTCCACTACCTCAACCAAGCTTCACAATCATCATTGCTGTGTACAGTATTAAATTGTTTGTTTAAAAGGTGTAGTGTGCGTGTGTATATAAAAATAGTCTTTTTTCTGACTAAACAAATTTCCTTGGAACCTTAACACCCCCCCCCCCCCAAATTTACATTAATTCTTACGGGGAAATTGGATGAACTTAACATCATTTTGCTTAAAGTAGCATTTTTCAGGAACATAACTACAACGTTAAGTGAGGACTTACTGTATAACATTTTTTGTCTTTTCTGTATCACAGAGTCCAAATGGTCAGAAGCTGTACAGATCCCTTCTGTGTAGATAACTGATTTGCATCGTTATATAGCAGATTATTTGGATGCAAGCTCAGCCTGGTCTTGTCTGGTCACTCAGGGCTCTGGCACAATACTTCTAGACATGTTTGCTTTTTCATGGCAGATGGTGAGCCTTGAAACTCTGAGCTCAGTTCCTGTTCTGGGGTAATCTTTCCACTGGAGTCAGGGTATTCTTTTTAATATGCATACAAAGTACAGCTAGCTGCAATGCTTTTGATTGCAGGTTGACTTGTTGGGGGAAGTATGGAGATGCCCTCTGTCCTGCCAAACTAACTTCTGGGCCAGTTAGGAGTGATTCTCTTCTGTGGAGATAGGAGGCAGTAGAGATAGAAACAGATGGAGAGAATTAAACTTGACTTTGAGGGAATGCTGATTGTGGAGTTTCCTTTGGTTGGCATTGGGTAGAGCAAGATTGAAGGGCAGCAGCATTGCCAATTCTTTATGGATGTGTCAAGAGAAACTTCTACAGCAGGCAGAGTGACTGGAAGTGGAGGTGGGGAAAGAGGACAACAAACTGCAGCACTGCTCTAAATAAACTCTTATTTATTGGAAAAACCAATGTGCGGGGAAGAAGGTGTGGTTCTCATCCCAGAATCTCTCTATCCAATGAATGTCTTCTCATTTACTCATAAGCTAAATTTGTTAGTCTCTAAGGTGCCACAATTACTCCTGTTCTTTTTGCGGATACAGACTAACACGGCTGGTACTCTGAAACCTGTCTCCATTGTGTGTGTCTGTTCTGACCACTCCTAATAAGTCCATCAGAGTACTAATTTCTCTCATAGATTACCTTATGGTAGGTGAGAAGAGATGACCTTTGGCTTATTACTCCTTGACAAATAGGAAATTGATGTGTAAAAGGGAGGGCAGATGTCCTTTTAAATGTTAACAGTACCCATTTCTGATGTATGTTGGAGTTAATGTAAGGATAGAGAGAGTGCTAGAGAGAAAAGGATTTGGACAGGTTTAGCAGTCTGGTAGAGAGGTAGCTCTGAGCCTTCCTGAGCTAAACTCAGTTGTCGTCTTGTTCTCATGTCATCACTTACCTTCCAGGATCTGGAACAGAAGCTCTCCCTGCAGGAACAAGATGCTGCAATTGTGAAGAACATGAAAACAGAGCTGGCCCGATTCCCAAAGATGGAGCGGGAACTGTTCCAGCTCAGGGAGGATAATGCCTACTTCAGGTGAGAAGGAAAGATCTGCCTTCAGTATGGGGCATATGTCAAAAATGGCTGTCTTCTGCTGTGATCCATCCTCCTATAGCTGTCATTTTCTGTCTCGGGGGCTTTGCATTATACAGTGCATTATACAGAATGGAAATTTCCAAATAGAATGCTGTGGAAGGAAGTTTAAAGGTCTTCTGTATCTACTATGTATGAAGTTGAGCCAGTGTTGTAATGGTTACTAGTTATTGTGATTTGGAGGATTCTGGATAATCTCCTTTTGCACAGTGTGAGGGGATCATGAAATGAGGATTGGTCATTTTGGAAGGTGAGACACATTTACCTTCAACTTGGATCAAAGGGAAGGTTGTGCATAGTAAGGGGAGATTGGAGAGGGATTTGATGCTAAACGTACTTGCTGATAGTAAATCCTTTCTTTATGGGATTTGTGATGGGCTATCTCTTCAATCTCACGACATTTCTAACATGTCTATCCCTGTAATAGCTTGGCAAAGATTTTAAATTCTTATTTTGTTACCAGCCAGTCAGCATTTCCACTAATGTTTTGAAAGCATTCTTGTGCCAGTGTATCATTTTGAAAGACTGGCTGCTGAAGTTTATAAATTGCTCTGGTGCTGCCTCTTTTAGAATCTGTTCTGTAGGTTTCCAAAGTACTAATGAATTTTGAAACTTGGTTGTCTTGTGTTTATGGAGTAATCTGGCATTACTTTGATATGCTGTTATCCTGAGAGAGTTTAATTTCAATCTCTGAAAACAAATGAACAAAAAGTCTGAAGTACACGAGTATCTGATCTTGCCAACTTCCCTTTACCACAATTTAGAAGACTGGAGTCTAAGCAGGCTCCTTTGAGTTTGCTCTTGATTTATGTGGACTACCACCATTCAATGACGATTTATCATGGAAACTCTCCAGGTGCCTCTATGCAATCCTCTCTGTTTGGAAATGTGAAATGTGTCATAGCAGAGTGGAAACAGAAGCACATTGAAAGATTAGTGGTCTTATTTTTGACACCATTGGACTGACTAATGTACCCCCACAAAACCTATATTAAAATAAACTCGGGGCTGAAGAAATCTTACTATCTGTAAACGGACAAGAGCACTAACTCTTGCCTGTTTCCTTACTTGCTGAGTTCCAGACCTGCATTCATATTGACTTTGCATCATAATGTCAAGGCTGTTGTGTTTACTTTAAATTCTGTTTTTGTACAATCGGTAAAGCAGGTATGAAATTTTCATATGTTTGGACATAACTCAGGGCATTTTGGAGTGGGAAAACTTAGCCCAGCGAATGCTACCTCCTGTGTAACAGTCACTTTGTAGCAAAGGTTATAGAAGGTTACCACTTTGGCTCAGTGTCATAATGGCTTTTTTAATACCTTATGCTTCCGTGTGTGTGTGTGTGTCCAGGAGTTTACATAAGAGAATTGAGTTGTTGTGGTGGCTTTGTAATGGCTTTGCCCTTTCTCTTTTTCTCAGGGAAATGAAGGAAAACAATGGGTTACTCAGAGAGGAGGTGGAAGGTCTCCAGAGGAAACTGGAGCGCTATGAGAAGGTTCAGGCCGATCTAGTGAACCTCGAATTGGAGAATGAGGTGAGGAGCCAAGAACATTTGCTATATAAGTAGAACTGGGGCTACTGCTCTTGCTTGTGTGGTCTTTTATGGAACTTAAGTTCCTCTAGACATAGCGAGGGTACAGACAGTGATTGCTGTGGTTTGTGGTTCGTGCTGGCCCAACCCCAAGATGTAGCCTAAGATGTAGAATACCCATATGAGGGGAGTATTCATAATGAGAGAAAAACAAAGGTCTGTCCATTGTTCATCTTAAAGACTTCTCTAAGTAGCAGCGCATCTTCATTGTGGCATCTCCCTTTCACATTGCCCCACCTATGAATGCCCTTTCGGTTCCCCAATGCTTACCAGAGGTGTTGGTATAAGATAGACACATAATGGGAACCTGTAACATACCCTCAGATCAGTTTTGCTGGTAGAAGGGGCCACTGTACAGTCTTGTATCAATACAATTGATTTCTTTGTTTTGCTGTTGCCTGAATCACCCCTTTCACCCACCCACATTTTACTCAAAGGTAAAATGATTTTTCAAGATGATTACCCGGTCATGGAAACTGTTGTGGTGCAGAGCTGTTCTAAGGGCTAGATCTGACTTGGGCAATCCAATCTGGTACTGAAAGCATAGAGAGTTATGATGCATATCCCTTTGGTGGGGGAGGAGAAATGGGCACAGCAGCTGGTATAGAACTGGCATGTTTGGAATACTGCTTTAATTTCTTTGGTCTGTGCAGTAACAGGATCTGGTGCATGGGGGTTAATTCACAAGGATAGATAATGGATGGCACAGAAATGGTACATTGTGCCATGTAACTGTGGTGGTTGGGAAGATTAATGCTGCTGTTAATAGTGTCTTGGGTACACAGAATGATGTTCCAGCAGTACTGGGCCATGCATAGATGATAAAGTCCACAGGAAAAAAAGTGGAAAAGGCTAAGGTGGAAGGAATGAAAAATGCAGCTATAGGAGTTGAGATGTAAGAACACTCATTTAGGTTTCTTTATTGACTTCTTTTTCTTCCTCCCTAGAAACTTCTGGGAAAGTTGAAAAGCTGGGAAAAACTAGATGAGAGCACTGGCTTAAATATCAGGTAGGTGCTGATGGAGTTAAACCACCTGTTCTACTTGCTTTACTTCTTAGTGATCTTGATGGCTTAAGCTTGTCAGGCTGTCCACCTTATCTGTCCTCCCGTGTGCAAACTTGTCTGTTGGTACTCCTCTCTCTCACTGCTATGAAGTATATATGATTTTGCCTTGTTAAATACAAACAGTCAAAGAGTATCTTTTGGGGATTAATTTGTGAACTGGTGACTGACAGCCTGACCCGATCCATTTGAGACTGTGGTGGGTGGAAAGCTGGTTTAGCTTTTAGTTCTCTAAACTTCTTGCGTACAACTACATTCATATTTAGAAGGAATTGAGTTGGTGTGACCATATTAAGAGTGGAGCGTTTCATGAGATGTACGGCAAGTCACATATATGAGCCTGTGATGCATTACTGAAAATATAATTCCTGTAATGAAATCTCAGGAATGTTGCGTTAGACTGACCTGTTGTGTTGTTTTCTAAAGTAGTAACTTAACTTAACAGCTTTTTCTCTTATTATCCTGTATTTTATATGATGGTAGAGGTGTAATAAACATTTTTCACTTCTGGTGCTGAGAAAATTTCTCTAGGGACAGTGAAATGATTGTAACACTTGTCAAAGAGAGGGCTGACGTGTAACACTGTAGATCAGGAGTTCTCAAACTTCATTGCACCGCGACCCCGTTCTGACAACAAAGTTACCCTGGGGTGGGGTCGGTGGGGGAGCAGAGCCCAAGCCCAGCTGCCCTGGGTGGCAGGAGAGGGGGCCACAGCCTGAGCCCTGCCACCCTGCATGGTGATGCAGCTCGGGCTGCAGCTTCAGCCCCGGGTCCCAGCAAGTGTAATGCTTGCCCTGGCAACCCTATTAAGTTGGGACGCAATCCACTTTGGCGTCCCAACCCACAGTTTGAGAACCGCTGCTACAGATACAGAGATTGACATCTTTTAGCATTGAACTAAATCACAGTTCTGGCTCTTCTAATTTGTCTGTGATGTAACCAAAGAGTGGTATTTGTTGCATCTTCTTCCCAGGGATAGCTGCTGCTTTGCAAGAAAAGTAATCTGCGAAATTAGGGCCATGCTCAGGTGCCACCTTTGCAAGGGCTGTGGCTCTCTCAATGTTTCAAGTGCGATTATGCTTATTGGTGGGAAGGGAGGTGTTTTGCCCAAAAGAACTGCTTTCCTTTGTACATCCTTGCATTGAGAGCTATGCTTTAGACAAGAATTAGGCTTGACCTGCAACTTTTACCCCAGATCAAACTTCCCCACTCGGGCCCCTGTCCCTATCCCATCAATTGCAGCTGCATAACAAACAAAAACACTGGAAGTTTTGCATGCAAAATGATGGCATACTTTGGGCCTAGCCTTGTTTGGATTTGGGATTCTATATTGGGTACGCTGCTACTTGAGGTAAAAGAGGATTGTCTCTCACAGGGCCAGCACTAGGCACCAGCAAAACAAGCAGGTGCTTGGGGCGGCACATTTCTAGGGGCGGCATTCCGGCGCTGGCCATGCTGCCTATAGAAACGTGCCCCAGCTCGCCTCCGCTCTGCCTCTGCCTGCTCCCCTGAGTGCACCGCCGCTCCGCTTCTCCCCCCTCCCTCCCAGGCTTGCCGCGCGAAACAGCTGTTGCGTGCGGCAAGCCTGGGAGAGGAAACCGAGTGGTGATGGAGCAGAGGTGCGCTGGGGCGGGGAGCGGTTCCTCTACCTCCCCCCTGCCCCGCTCACCTCCGCTCTGCCTGCTCCCCTGAACGTGCTGCCTCTCCCTCAACTGAGAGGGAGGGGGAGAAGCGGAGTGGCGGCGTGTTCAGGGGAGCAGGTGGAGCGGAGATGACCTAGGGCAGGGCGTTTCTGGGGGTGGGGGGAGGAGCTGCAGGAAGCAATGGGGGGAGGGAATGCGGCATGTCTGGGAGAGAAGGTGGGGCTGGGAATTTGGGAAAGCGGTTGGGAAGGGGCGGGGCAGGGGGGGAATGAAAAAAAGCGGGGGCAGCCAAAAATTTTATTGCTTGGGGTGGCAAAAATCCTAGAGCCGGCCCTGTTCTCTCGCAAGCAATGTCCTCTTAGTTTTCTCATAATTCTTTGTGTTGTCCAATGTGTGTGGTGAGCTACCTTTTCCTTAATGCACGTAGGTAGATAGCAATGCTGAGACCGTCTCCTGCCTCTGCTCAGAGTTCATATGTTCAGACTTGCAGGAGAGTGAAGTACTGAGTTCTTCCCAGCAAACTTTCTCTCTGCCAGACAGTGGTATGGAAGCTTTTACTTACCTCAAGCTGTTAAAGGTTTAATGAGGTAATTTCACAGTGGAAAGGAAATGGAACCAAGTGACTCTTCCTGCTGAAGTCTGATAACCTCTTCATTTAAAGTCAGAATATTCGATGAGAAGTGTTAGTGAGGTTTTTTATTGTGCCGCATTGTTTAGCAGTATTAAGGGCGTTTCTTTGTACAGACGAACAAATTGCTCTCAAGAAAATCACCTTTTGCATGTGATTGCACCAAGTGGAATTGGAGCTACTTTTTTTTCCCAGGCTTCTTTCAGTATGAATTATGATCATTTTCAGCCAGGAAATGAGACCAAGTATAAAGGGAGATCATTGTCCCAATCATATTCCTGAAGCGTACCTCTTGTGAAAGCTTGAGGAAAGTTAATTGCTAGACAGTGAGTAGGAGAGAATGGGAACAGTTGGATGGTTATCCCAAAGAGCCAGTGCAATGTACTGTCTGTCTGCTAATAACTAGAGAAGCAGGAAGAAAGGGAATGCATTATGTCCCTTTGTCTCCTCTTCTTAGTTTCTCCACTTATACATGGAATGCAGGGGAAGAGCGCGCAGCCTGTGGCTCTTTTGGGGAAGATGGTTTTTCATTTCCTCCCGCTGATCTTCAGGGTTTCTCTTCTGTGTCTGCTCGCAATGGCTTTTGTTCACTGATTGCGTGGTCCCTGGAGGTTCCCTGTCAGATTAGTTTATGAGCAGGGCTTTTGGTGTGTAATTTTATGTAATAGTATTTGGAAGGGGAGGGGGCATCTTCTTGGAGTGTTAAGGCCAAACATCTCTGTGCTTATCTTTTTGGGGAGTTTTATGAGAGATTTGGTGGTTGTCTTTCAGTGCTGTAACTTTGGTGGAAATAAACTATGAAAAGTGCAAAAACTAAATACCTTACTCAAAAGTTGCTCTCTGTACTGTAGTCCAGTGACCACAAGTTCTGAATTGTTGCCATCTCAACCAGGTGATGGGAATCAGTTCCATCTTCTTTGAAACCCGTGATTGCTCCCTTGCCTAAACATTAGAAATTGTAGAAGACTGGCTAACATTGTCGCCTAGCCTGGAATTGTTTTGTGTTGTCCTTCCCCTGCTCCTTTTCATCCTCTCCAAAGTTCTTCCTACTCTTATGGTGGTAAGAACAGCACATGCTATTTTTAATTATACCCTATATATAATGCAAGCATAACTTCAACAGTTTACCAATATGATGGACGTATAAGTTGTGCCCCTCCTTACCCAGATCATAAAATTGTACATGGCATTCTATCTGTTACGCTCCACTTGTACCCAAATCACGAAGCTGTCTGCAGTCTCATATGCATTTGACCAAGGGTTCCTCTATATTCATGTCCTAATGCTGTTCACTTTCCAATTTACTAGACTCTGCTTCTTTGTTAAGAGTGGTGTAGTTTGGGTTTGCAGGAACTCGGTCAGTATTTTGTGAGTGCCTTTATATTTACTCTGTCATGGATTCCCAGAGATGCTAAGCCTTCAGTTATCTCAAATCTACAGTTCTTCTGCAACATTAGTTTTCATCTGCAGAATAAATCTACTTGCTGTGTATTAAGTGTATTAGCCTCTTTATTTTGCTCTACAGGCTACTCGCTTTAGAAGAGGCACTGCTGGCTGATATAAACTATTGTAACTCCTGATTGCTAGGAATGAGCTGTGATTCTATTGTTCTGTGTCAGTAAAGTGTGTTCCTCTTATTCTGTGTCTCTCCCTGTGGCACACTGATGACAGTAGATTTTCACAGATCATTGTGGATTGAGTGACCAGGTGGTTGGTTATTTTCAGAGAAGGACTTAGTGAGGGGCACCAGTACAAAACTTTCATAGACTTCAGTGAATATTTCCTTTGCTAGAGGGCACCATAACCTCAGAGACGCCTTCTAATGTAAATAAATGTTGCAAATCTCAGGCAAGAAATTAGTTTTGTAGAATAATAGTGTTTCTGGAAGGGAGTAGGCTTTCTGGGTTTGTAAAAAAGAAGTGCAGTTATTTTTGATGTCAGTGTGAGGAACTCACCACTAGATGGCACACTTTCTCTTGTTGTATCAGAAAAACATTGATTTCATTCTGGTATGCTCTGACTCCTGTACAAACATCAATTGGGCACCGTAAAAAGGTCAGGCATTAGTCTAATTAAAGTTGTTGGCTTGTTAAAATCAAATGTTTTAAAATCTATTTTAAAACCACACCAGTGTGATCATTTTCTCTGTGTGTATGTCTAGCAGAGTTCCTGTTTCTTGCAGCTATTCTGAACGTGAACAGAGATTCAGACACAGTTTCTCCAGTGACAGAGTGCAGTACATATCTTTCTCACCCATCTCAGCAACCCTCTTTTTCTCCCTGACTCCCTGTCCTTTCTCTCTTTTCAGACTTGTTCAATCTAGTTCTCTTCTTCACTGTTATCCACAGAATCATCCTTAAGAGGGAAATGTTGTTTTTAATATAATCAACCTGCCATTCTTTCCTTCCCATTGTTCTTTGTTTATGTAATGCTCAGAGCCTATGCGGCACTTGGCAAATACACAGACAAGATTCCTGCCCTGTAAATCTTCTAATCCAGTAATTTTCAACCTGTGGTCTGTGGACTCCTGGGAACCCTCTGACTATGTCTAAGGGGTCCATGAAAGGTGGTTGTTACCATAGATCAGTGGTTTTTAAGCTGTAGTCTGTGTCTGCACACTATGTCTAAGATTTCCAAAGGGGTCTGTACCTCCATTTGAAATTTTTTAGAGTCCT